TTTGGTTTATCCTGTTATTATAATTATATCACCGACCAGGCTCGGGATGTACTGGCGCGCTATATCTAGCGTAATCCTGCCGTAATCCCTTAAAGCCAATAGCCTCGCGTGGCTATACGCAGGGTGATTCTATTTCTAGAAGGGTCTATTTCCTTTGGATAGGATAAACCTGGTTACCTGATGTACTATGGAAGTATAAAAGCACCTTGTACTGATTGATAGTGCAACATTGAGCAAACCTTTCCTCGGGACATTCGATCCTGTGACAAGCAGGAGCAGCCGTGGGCCCGCCTCTCGCCGGGGTGGCCAAGAGCCCCTGGAGGTGGTGGCCGAGGTGGCGGTCCTTGCAGCTCGGCGCCTTCAGTGCTGTGGGCTGCCAGTACCAGCTCCAGACCGGGTCCCTTCGTGGCACTATGTCCTGCCGTCCGCACCCGACCACCCACTGCTTCCGCCGCCTTGATGACCTCTTTTGTCACCGCTTCGGCTCGGCCCTAGACCTCCCTGACTAACCCAATCTTCTGCGCCACGGTGTGCCTATAATTGACTTAGACATGGATCAGATTAAATCTGCCTTGCATTCTCTGTGTGCTGACGCTTCTAGTGTGTCCGGATCTTATTACCATGTGTTCTCTAGCTTAGTCGTAGCACCTGTGTGTAGTACAGAGACCCCTGCTGCATCAGGCGTAGGACCGTTTGCTTTGTCTAGTCTAGGCTCCACATTCGCTCCTCCTTCGTCTATCGCTACTGCTTCGCTGTCCTTCACACTTGCTTCTGGTGCGTCTGCCTGCTTCTTTCGCGACCACGCTGTGCTTACGCCGCTTGCCGCGCCTGCCACTGTCGCACTTGCTGACCCCTCCTCTGGTCCTGTAGTTGCTCGCAGCTATAGTACCCTTCCCTGCCCAACGGTTCCCTTACAAGCCTGCAAATCCCCTCGTTCTCCCGGAACTTAGTTGGTGTTGGCTGTCTTCAGGATCTCGGCATCACCACTACGCTCCCGGGTCACGAGCGGTACGCCGTCTGTACTGAGGCCGCCTCAAGTTCCCCCCTTGCAACGTTCCCCCGGGACCTGGTGTATGGCCTCTTTACGCTGGACACTTCTTCCCCCCCGGGTGGGGCGTCCTCCCCCGGTCCTGCGCCTACCTTGGTCGCCACTGCATGCTCGTGTAGGTCGCCCACTCACCCGTCGCTCCTATGGCACCATTGCCTAGGTCACCCCGCACTCCCACGTCTACATCACATGTCCCAGCACGGTCTCGTCATAGGTCTCCCTGCGTCGCTTCCTGCCCTCCCTCCCTCGCCTGCACCGCCGTGCACGCCCTGCGTCGAGGGCCAGCTCCGCCCTGCTCCTCACTCCTCCTCGTTTTGTCCTTCCACCGCACCCCTCCAGACCCTGCACCTGGACGTCAGGGGCCCAGCTCCTGTCCCTGGACTGCGTCGCAAGCGCTACTTTCTAGTGCTAGTTGACAACTACACGCGCTACAGAAGATGTTTCCCTTTAAGCGGAAGGCCGACGTACCTGACGTTCTTATCCCGTGGGTCGTAGCTGTGCGCCTCCACCGCGGTCTCCCTCTGTTGTGTCTCCACTAAGACCGTGGCGGTGAGTTCGCCTCTAGTCGGCTTGGACAGTTCTGTCGTGTGGAGGGCATCACCCACTCGTACACCCTATCGGACTCCCCGCAGCAGAATGGGGTCGCTGAGTGACGCATCGGCTTGGTCATGGAGGTGGCTCCTACCTTCATGATTCATTTCCGTGGTCGTTCGTCGTTTGCTACGCCGCTCACCAGCTTAACCTGTGGCCGCGCTCCTAGCGGCTGCAGGTTTCGCCGACCCTTCTTTGAGCTAGGTTCCCTTGTGACGCGTCCACGTTCCACGTCTGGGGCTGCCTCGCTCATGTTCGTGCCTTTGGCATGGACAAGCTCACTGCCCGCACTGTCCCCTGTGTCTTTCTCGGTTTCCCCATGGACTCCTCTGACTGGCACTTTTACCACCCGCCGTCTCACCGCTTCTTTCACTCTCGTAACGCCACTTTTGACGAGTCTGTTTCCTTTTACCATCGCTTTCCCCACCGAGGTCCCCCGGTTTCCCCTCCCCAATTTCTGGTGCCCACTCCCCCGGTAGCCCATGCTCACCTTCCTCCCCGTCCTACTCCGTCTGGTGTCTCACGTCACTCCCCTTTCGTCGGTTGTCCCGGTCGAGGAGTCAGCTGACTCTGGTGGCCCTGCGGTGCAGTTCTTACCGCCTGTCTCTCCCCCGAAGTCTCCTCCTCCACCGTCGCAGTCGCCGCCGCCGTAGTCGGCGCCGCCGCCACAGCAGCAGCAATTCGTAGACTCTGGGGGTGCTGGCATTGAGGAGGGTGCTAGTCCTGGGGTTCCTGTTGTGGCTTGTCCCGTCGGGCTAGGGGGGGGCACCGGTGCTGGAGAGGGTTCTTGCTTTGGGGGAGCTCGTTCTGGGGGTGCTGGAGTGGAGTGTTTCGAAGGTAGTCGCGGTGCAGCTGGCAGTCCAGGTGTCGGCATCGAGCAGCAGCAGCAATCGCCGCCGGTGTCCGCCCTTCGCCTGCTCGGCCTTCCGTCCCCCGACCGCTCGCCTGCGCCTCCCCCGCCGCCTCCTCCCCTTCGTGTCCACGGTCCTGTGTTTCCTCCACCGGACTCGTCCCCAGCCCATTTCCCACCTCGTTCCCCTCCTGTTACTCCTCCTCTGTCTCCTGACTCGACGCCTCCATCACACGTCTTGTCTCACCGTCCCTCTCGGGCTCGTCCTGTCTCTCCTGTTCTGCGTTTTCACCCTATGTTGCTTCGTTCCCACGCATCTCGTCCTCCCCTCCTACCTTCCCCTCCTCCATCGTCGCTCACGGTCGGGCCTCCCCCTCTGTCTGACTACCTTCGTGTTGCTCGTCGTCTTGTTCCTCGGATCCTTGCCTCCCTCGTTACCGACCCGTCTGTTCCTGTCTCCAGTCTTGACGCTCTTGTCGCTGCTGTCGCTGACTTCGCCTCTACCCGCCGCCTTGACTACGCCATCGCTCTGGTCTCTGACCTTGTCCGTCCTCCGTCTGTCGAGGATGCTCCTGCCCTTGGCAGTAACGTCCTAGAGGACAGGCAGTACGAGCTTGCTTTCCTGTCCGAGGCTGCTCCCCATCTCTGCTCCATGCTGCTAGTCCCTGAGGGTAACCCAGATGCCTTTGATATCCCGACCCCTCGCACTTACGCTGAGGCGACCTCGGGATACTGGGCCTCGCAGTGGATAGCTGCCATGGAGCAGGAGATGGCATCTTGGAGATCCACGGGCACCTACGTCGACGCAGTTCCCCCACCTGGGGTCAACGTAGTCGACGGCCGATGGATCTTCAAGGTGAAGCGCCCCCCTGGAGAGCTGCCTGTCTTCAAGGCGCGCTACGTGGCTAGAGGCTTCAGTCAGCGAGAGGGGGTGGACTTCTTTCAGACCTTTGCCCCGACCCTGAAGATGACTACTCTTCGGGCGCTGCTACACGTAGCAGCACAGCGTGACTACGATCTCCACTCCTTAGATTTCTCCACTGCTATTCTTCAGGGCAGCCTACACGAGTTGGCCTACCTGCGCTGACCGCAGGGCTTCACATGAACCTTCCCTCCTGGGACCCAGTGGCTCCTCTAACGCCCGGTCTACGGCCTACGACAGGCGCCCCGTGAGTGGCACGACACGCTGCGTGGTACGCTAGCTAACCTGCAAACCTTTCTGTCCTCTGCAGACCCCTCGCTCTTCGTTCGTGCTGGACAGACTCCGTTCTACATCCTTGTCCACATAGACGACCTGGTCTTCGCTACTGCAGACAGAGTCGCGTAGGACTCCGTGAAGGCCGAGCTGCTGAGGAGACAGATCTGCACTGACCTAGGAGAGTTGAGCCGCTACCTGGGCCTGCAGGTCTCTAGGGACAGAGCAATGCGCACCATCACTCTTACATAGTCACACTTGGTGCGCCAGGTCCTTCACAGGTTCGGTCTTCAGTTCTCCTCCACACAGCCCACACCTCTACCAGTAGACCACAGGCTCTCGGATCCAATTCCTGAGGAATCAGTAGTGGTCCTGACACAGAGTTGGTGGGTTGCCTCATGTACCTGATAACGTGCACTCGTCCCGATCTCGCATACCCTCTCAGCATCCTGGCTCGCTTTGTGGCCACCAGCAGACACCGACCACACCACTGGTCGGCTGCTAGGAGGGTTTTGCGTTATCTAGCAAATACATCGGGCATGGGGCTAGTGCTAGGAGGACGCAGGCCGGTGGTTCTTACTGGGCACACAGGGCAGACGACGCTGAGACCCTCAGGTCCTCCCAGGGCTACTGCTTTAGCCTTGGTTCGGGCGCCATCTCGTGGAGGTCCACTCGCTCCTCGTCTGTTGCCCAGTCTAGCTGTGAGGCTGAGACCTACGCCGGTGCCAATGGCGGCACAGGAGCTCCACTGGCTGACGTTATTGCTCACCGACTTAGGTGAGCGGCCTAGCTCTGCCCCGGTCCTGTACGCTGACAACAGGGCCATGATCCCCCTATGTCAGGAGCCTCGACTTGTGGGCAGAGCGAAGCACATCCAGCTGCATTACTTCCTCCTGCGTGAGCTACAGCAGCTCCGCCAGGCCCGCGCAGTACACTTGGCCTCCGGTGCCAACACAGCTAATATCTTTACGAAGGCGCTTGCGCCTAAAGATCATCAGCGGCACTGCTTGCAGCTTGGTCTAGGTCCTGTAGACTCTCACTTGCTAGGACCTTTATTGTGTACTCCTCTTTATAGATATCTTTCAGACTAGCCTTGTGGCTTCTCTTCCAGTGGCCGGACTAGTAGTGCCGCCCTAGTTTGCTCCTGTCTTGTTTGTACTCTTGCTGAATTGTCTTCGGACCCCTGTTTCAGAGGTTGGACTAATAGTGCCACCCTGAGTTGTGTGCTTCTTGCTCAGCACTACCCCTTATCTAGCCTAGGGGGTGTGTCAACTTTTAAATACATTTGCATGTAGAAGTTATAAGCTAGAATAGGTGTATGTTCTTAGAGAGTACAACCCAACCCTATATCTTGCTTGTCCTCTCTTGTTTCTTATTCATTCTAGTATCCTAACAGACACCTCCTTTAGAAAACGCGGCGGCACTGATTTCTGCCCACCAAGCGTGCTATCACACATTCACCCCTGCTATGCTTGTGTAAAAACACAAGTGCTCTCGGCCTTTATTGCCTGCAAATGGGGCAAGGGCAACCCAAGTAACATGTCACTTGGTGTCTAATATGTTCTGTACACATGCTGGAGATAGGCTTGTGACAGTTGAGCCTTCTGTTCCTGCACACCAGCCCAAAACGGTAAATCAGGCAAGAATGTAAGGCAGTGCAGAAAAACAAACATAAAAGCAAGACACAACTGATTTTCCCACTTTAGATCACCGGAACCATGCCTCACCTCCGGCTCATCTGTTAAGTGTCTTTTGAGTCGACTCAAAGGTGAAAAAGCAAGGCACAACGGCATTTCCCGCTTTAAATCACTGGAACCATGACTTACCTCCAGCTCCTCTATGAAGTCCACCGCGGCATGCAGCAGCGACGCGATATCAGTTCTGGAAGCCACGTTTGACCGGCACTTCTGATGCAACCATGATGCAGGAATGGCCCTCTCCAACTGTTTGAATCCCGCACTGCAAAATATGGGGAGGCACAGATGACAGGAAATTGTGGGGGTATTGCCTAAATCACCCAGAAAAAACAGCTATGGTCAGCATGAGAGGAAACCACGGCAAATATCGCACTGATTGCAAGGATTGCACATACAACGATTACTATGGGTAGAGGGATTACCTGACCCGGTGTCTTCTGCGCTTCTCTGTGACGCTTCTGCGACCAATAGGCGGCCTCCCGACACCGACACCGAGCCTTGCATCGTTTGCTGTACCCATTAGCTGCGCCACATGTGCTGCATTTTCAGTCACTTTGGGGGCAGGAGCAGGGCTGTTGGGAGCAACATAGCCAGCCGTGATGGCGTGTGGTTCAGACGGCCGTGGAGGTTGAGACAGCGGGAGTGAAGCGAGAGCAGGTTGAATGGGCGGGACTGAAGCGAGAGTGGGTTGAATGGGCGCGACCGAAGTGAGTGGTTGAATGGGCGGGACCGAAGAGACAGTGGGTTGAATGGGAGGAACCCATACAAGAGCCTCTTCCCTCAAGTCCATATTAAGAACTGGAAGAGCACATTCACCCTGGATCGGCTCTGCTTGACCAGGAGACGGTAAGGGAAGGTCGTCAGTTCGACCAGCCATACTACTCCTTGGAATAATCATGCCATGCGCAGCCCGATTGATCATGCCTTTCCCATCAGAGCTGAAAAAAGTCTCTGGGGGGCTAGTGGTAGGGAGACTGGTATCAGATTTCCCGCTATTGAGCGGTTGGCCTTCCATCATGCAATGCACCAATAACGCCGGGTCCAGGGCTGGGTCTTTCTTTGCCGCCTCAGACGCAGATGCTGGGAATTCCGCCAGGTTGGAGAAACCAATCCGCTCCGAGTGGCTCGATGCAGCCCCGGGATCGAATCCCAGCAGTGCCACAAAGAGAGTGTCGTCCAGGCTGAGGTTCCCCACGCGGCCTTGCTGGTCCGCGCCTTGCTGGTCCGTACCCGGTGGCATTTGCCAGACAGCGCCATAGTCCATCGTCCAAAATCGTCGCAGCGTCACCCGCGGCTGTGAGGTATTACTACTTATTCCCGGCGACTCCGCAGTCAGCGTGGCTTAACAGTAGTCAGGGGTAGAAGTTTGGAATCCAGTCAACAGGCGTGCGAAACGCGGTACGCGCCGAGCTCTCCGACAGAATTCCTTACATAAGTGGCCTGTTAGGCTTACAGCGGTGGCCCTCGGGATTGCCGTTGGAACAACACAAACGAGGGTTTCCGCCGGCTTCCGTGAGAACGAGGGTTTCCGCTTGAAACAACCCCGCCGCTTCCGTGAAAACAGAAGTTTGCCACGGCTGAGAGGAGATTTGCCACTTGAGTTGTGACGGAAAATTGTAGAATGATGAGTGGAAAAAAATTATTGAAAATGGGACGCCCACCAACACCGCCGCAAACATGAGACCACTTGTACGGCGAAGGACGTGACATTCCGCCTGGATGTCAGTGGTCAGTGGTCACGGTGGGGGCGATTCGCTGGATCTGAAAATTGAGGAGAGAAATCGGTAGATCTCTCGATCGACATCGAGGCTTCAGACTCAAAGCATCCGTGCGAAACGGTCGCAACGACGATAGCGGGATGATCCCTGCGAAAAGATTTGCACAGACGTAAGCATTTCCGCGAAACGTCACGACGACATTCCTGCGAAAAGGTCACAGGCTATTAATGCCACCATCATGGTGTGTCACTCGCGAGTCAACTTCAGCACTCCAGTACAGTAGAAGGGTAGACTTACACTCAGTGCAAGCAACCCCCTGGGCCACGTTCATGCTGCACTCCGTGCCGCATCACGTGGCGTGACGTTGAACCTAACCTCAGGTTAGGCTAACCTCACCTGCGTGATGTTGGTCCATTGGACCTACACTGTACCACAGGTAGCGGGTGTAGGGTTGCCTTGGGGAAGCCACTGCGGCAGTGCTACACTACCCAGCCGCTTCGGAAGCGGACTACGGTACAGTACGGGGAAAAGGCGGGCTCTCTAGACTAGACGCGTTCTGTATTACCAGGACCGACAATCGACGGGCGAAAAAAAACGTAGGACCGAAGCTGGGCGCGATGCGAGTCGATGATTGGCTCGGCAACGCATGTCCTTGCTCCAGTTACGTGCACTGTACCGTAACGTAACTGCCATCAGTCCTTGTGCGAGCTGCGGCAGATTCACTGATGGCAGGCGGAGACTGTCACACACACGGTGTGCGAACAGCGGCGTATTCAAAAGGAAACGTTCAAAAGATTCTAGGCGCCACTTCTAGCAGGTTCTGTTCCGTGAACGAGGCGCCGCGTCGTGTTCGTTCATAAAGCTCTGCACTGATCCTCTTTCCCGTAAGGAGGCTACTGTACGCTCAGTAGTGAAGTGACCGACTAAGATCCTGTTCAGGAAGTTTTGCCCATCCCGACGTTTGCCCATCCTACTCCTTTTTAGGCGATTCGGTGGGCAAACTTTGTCTGCAAAATTCAGAAGACCGTAGTTTGCCCATCCGACTTCAACCCTCGTGCGACCAGTTTGACGAGCCCCAAACGACAAAAAGCGGACAGACAAAGTTCTCGCCAAATGAGAAAGCCCCAAACACAATAGCGTGCTCAAGATGCGATGAAATCAGGAGTCGCAAACGTCAAACCCATCTGACGCCCAGCCGGGCGTCCAGTGAATCCAACAGCCGTATCCATTGAAAAAAAAAATGGAACACGTGGCCGTCCCTAGTTGGTTTGACCTCAATTGAAATCTTACGATATTTGACGGCGCTTGGAGATGGTGGCCTTTCCAGTTGCCCCCGCCAAGTTTTTTCTGCCGTGCGGGCAGTTGCGGTAAGGTTCCTGACGACCAGGCGTCAAACCGTGCCGGAGTGGGACGCAACACTGATGTAGGATGTGGTCGCACTATGGCGAGGGCCCACATCGCATGCAACCTGGCCGGCCGAAATCGGGATGGGCAAAGTTCTAATCGCATGGGCAAAGTTCGATTCGTGTGGGCAAACATTGAAATGTGTTTTTAGACATTCCGAGCCGCGTGGGCAAACTTCGTGGATGCGCAAACTTCCTGAACACTATATAACCATGTGAGAACAGGCTCGAGTGAGGCTGTGCGTGGCTTTAAACTGTAGTCTGCTCGTTTCACACTGCAGTACAGAACAGAACGAGTTTCCTTGAACAGGTTGGTGAAACTTTGGAGAGACGAAAAGGTCCAGCCCGAACTGAAGCCATTGGACTTACGAGGTACAGTACGGTTGTTTTACGCTATGACAACAATGAGAGAGGTAGTTGGCAGTGGCCCAAGGTCATTTCTGGTCATTTCTGCGACGATAGGGTGTACACATGATCCCTCTTACAGACATCCGAGCTACTCGCACAATCCGGATAATGACACAATGACGTATATGCCCTGCTCTTATCACGCAGTGTAAGAGCACATTCACTGTGTAACATGAAACGCACCCCCAAGGCTCTTGTGTTCAAGATATCCTTGAGATTCGGAATCATCCAATGAGAGGCGTTGACAGGTTCAGATTAGTGATTGTTTAATACTAACGATAACACTAGCAGTTTTGTCGCCAGCCATTGTCTTGACATTACGCCACGTAAAGAACGAATGTTCTAATGTGGAAGGTTCAGAAGGTTTAGGTTGGTTAATCTTAAGACACGTCATCTCAGGCCGAAGAGTTTGACTACCGATTGGCGACAGCTCATCAGTTTCGAAACAGACTCCGTTTCAGTTGCGAAAGTCTTGCAGCCCTAACGATGGGGCAGGTTACTCGACAATTTGGCAGAACAGACGCGCCACTCCAGCCTTATTTAATTGCAAAACTGCGGCCGTTGCCGCCCGAGAAGTGTACCGGAACATTTTGCCCGGCGTTTTGGCCAGAGGATACATGCACGGACCGCGCAAACATTTAAAATGTCTGAATCCAATAACATGTGTACCACGTTTGGAGGAATTGAGCGAAAGTGCAGCCTGTACATAGGGAATCTTGCGAATGGTGGGGAATCTCGCGAACGTAACACAGGTCAGCTGTCCATCGGCCTACTGTCTTGTAGTGTACACTGGGAGAGTGCCCTGCGAAAGCTGTTCGGTCGTTTTTGCGAAACCAAAACGCGTCTGCTCTGCTGCTCTGCTGTACATGTAGCATCTGTCGCGGGAAATCTGCGTTGTTTGGATAAGGTGATATTCCCGAAGAATCTCATCCACTGATGCTGACCTGGAAGGGATGGTTCGTTGTAGGATTTGCATCCAACTGCATAATGAGTACTGAACGAGGTTGTTTTTCACCCAGCACTTCATGAACGAGGGCTAAAAATGAGTCTACCATAAAGATGAGAAATTTCTAGACATTTGAAATGTTATGAGCCGACTGGAGATTAATCCAGACCCCCCAGCAATGGTCTACAACTGGACTCGCTATAAAATCCACTCTCACAGCTTTCCTAACCTCCAGACATCGTCCTCATTTTCCCAAGTTACACTGTCCTTCCCCAATTCACCCTCCTCATTCTCCTCCCTATCTGCCTTCTCCCTCTCTCCTCTCTCCCTCTCCTCCCTCTCCCTCTCCCTCACCTTCTCCTTCTCCCTCTCCTTCACCTCCTCCTCCCACTCGGCATCCCACCCCACCTCCCTCTGCTCGGCTCTCTTCAAAATCGCTCGAGTGTTTTCATCCTCCACCACTCTGTACCGCCTCATCTGCACCCGGTACAGCCGAGCCGCTGCCACCTGCCTGTTGTGCAGCAACGCCTCCAATAACGCGTTAAAGAGGTGCGCATTAAGAGGGACGCCGGAAGACCGGGCGTCCTGCTTGGTTAGTGTGCGCGTGAAAAGGAGACAGAAAAAGAAAGCAAAAACGGCTTTTGGGAAAATGAAACTTTGGGGAAGGTGGGAGGAGTTGATGAAAGCGGGTCTCAGATGACAGGCAAGGCAAACAAGGAACTAGGAGCCAGGAGGTGGTAGGAGCAGCAGGAGGTGGTAGGAGCAGCAGGAGGTGGTAGGAGCAGCAGGAGGTGGTAGGAGCAGCAGGAGGTGGTAGGAGCAGGAGGTGGTGAGAGCTAGTCTGCGCTGGGCACTCTTGCCCACGGCTCTGGTACCACGGGGTCCACTCTGGTACTCCCCCCCCCCCCCGCACCCCACCCCCCACCCCCTCAACTCGAATATCTTGACCGCAGCCTGCCAGTCCTTGGCCTTCCCGAGGATGCGAATGAGTGACAGGACGCCCGCACACGCATGCACTTGATCAATCCAACCATCCCCTGCACCTCTTACCCCCCACCCCCCCACCTCGAATATCTTGACAGCCCCCTACCAGTCCTTTGTCCTCCTGAGGATGAGAATGAGCACTCCCACCCACATGCTCACCTTCCTTCCTCACATGCACCTCTGCCTCCGCTCCCTCCCTCCCACACCCTGCCTCCCTCCCCCCTCACCTCCAAAATCTTGACGGCACCCTGCCAGTCCTTGGTCTTGCCGAGGATGCGAATGAGCAACAGGCAGCACATGCTCATCTAGGCCGACTCTCTCAACCCCTCCCTCGCCCCTTCCTCCCTAGCCCCTCTCTCTCTCCCCCCTCACCTCGAATATCTTGACGGCTCCCTGCCAGTCCTTGGTCTTGCCGAGGATGCGGATGAGTGACGCCAGGGTGAAGGTGTTGGGCTTGCACCCGGTCTTCTGCATCCGCTGGTACACCGTCATGGCTGCCTCGGATTGGCCTGGCGGGCAGGGAGCAGAAGGGGGGATGGGGGCAGGGAATTGGGGGGATGGGGGCAGGGAATTGGGGGGATGGGGGCAGGGAATTGGGGGGATGGGGGCAGGGAATTGGGGGGATGGGGGCAGGGAATTGGGGGGATGGGGGCAGGGAATTGGGGGGATGGGGGATGGGCAGGAAGAGAGGGCGGATAAGAGTGAAGGTGTTGGGCTTGGACCCGGCCTTCTGCATCCGCTGATACACTGTCATGGCTGCCTCGGATTGGCCTGGCGGGCAGGGAGCAGAAGGGGGGGATGGGGGTTGGGCAGGACGAGAGGGCGGATCAGAGTGAATGTGTTGGGCTTGCGCCTAACCTTCTGCATCCTCCTGTACACTGTTAGGGCTGCCTTGGCTTGGCATGGAGGGATAGGGTATACCAGTGTGAACATGCCGAGGGTCGGGAGTGGGGGGGGTGTTAAGGGTGGCGCACAGCCAGCTTTCTGCAAGCACCCACATGTTCAAAGGACCATGTTGGCTAAGTAGGTTCATTTTGAGACGTCTCAAAACTTATGCAAGCACCCACATGACCATGCCATAGCGCCTCAGATTGGTGAACTTTATGATATGAGTCACATGAAGACACGACCACTTGTGATAACCCACCTGCAAGCTCGCATGTCCGAATCACCATGCTGTAGCTCCTCACGTCCGCCTGCACGCCCATGCGCTCCATGCGCCACAGCAGCTGCAGCGCGCGCTGCCACTTGGCCTTGCGCTGGCACGCCAGCAGCGCGCAGTTGCACACCACCACCGTCGGCTCCAGCCGCTCCCTCTCCCCCATGTATTCGAACAGCGCCATGGCTCGGTCGAATTCTCCAGCCCGAGCCAGTGCCGAAGCTAGCCCGGACCAGGTGAAGTGGTCCGGAGGGATGCCCAGTTTCTTCATGCGGGCAAAGACTGAGAGCGCGATCTGCCACTTGCCTGTGGGGGAGGGGGAAGGGGGAGATGGGGAGGAACGAGAGAAGTGAAAGGCAGCGGAAACGAAGAAATCCGTCTGCCTGCCACTTGGCTTTATCCAGCAGAGGAAAGAGAGGGAGAAAAGCAGTGCGGCATACCTGCACGGGCCAGCGCGGATATGAGGGCATTGAACGGCAGAGAGGAGTTGGGCGCCCCCAGCACCTCGCCCCACGCACTCTCCGCTTCGGTCCCCCGAGCCTTCCCATACAGACTCGCCCCCCCAGCAGCAGCTGCTGCTGCTGAGCCGAGCTGCTTTGCTGTGAGACTGTTCTGAGGCCGTTCGGTAGGGGCCGCAACAGGCGGTTGGAGAGGAGCCTCGGCAAGAAACTGCACTTCTTTAGAGCTGCTAAGATCAGCCGCTGCAGACCCCTGGTCCTGTCTCGCCTCAAAAGCCCCCTCCGAAGCACTAATGCTGTCCTCCATAGGTACATAGTCCGGCGCTGCAGCTCGAGCTGACGTCACTCCAGGAGCCCTCTCCTCTGAGGATTCACCTGCAGGTGTCCCTCCCTCTGTTAATTCACCTGACCGCTGTCCTCTCTCCTCTGTGTCAGTCCACGTGGCAAGAAGATCGTCCAGCAGGTCAAGAGCCAGGGGCCAGCGACCCACCTGAAAGCGAAAGGGGGCATGTGGGTTTGAAAGAGAAAGTAGGTCTTAGCACGCAGGCATGAGAATGAGACCCCACGGACTTTAGCAACAACACAAAGGAAACCCTTGCTGCATGTCAGATTTGATCGCCTGGCCTGCATTAGTAATTAAGGCGTCCCCCCCAAAAAAGCACAAAACGAACACCTTAGCAGCAACGCAGATCAGCCCTCTTTGCAAGTCCGGGGTGACACGGCGACAGGCTGGCCTGGAAGCCTGGCGTCAAAGAACAGCTGCAGTGCCAGGTCGCAGCGATCCGCCCTCAACTCAACTCACAAGCACCACATCAACAAAACAGCACCACATGGCACCAACCTTAGATGCGACACAAATCCACCCTCTCTGCATGTCCGGACGGAGTGACAGGTTGGCCAGCCAGTCTACCATCAAAGAACAGCTGCAGCCTCAGGCCGCAGTGATCGGCCCTCAACTCAACCCACAAGCACCACAATAAACAGCACCACAATAAACAGCACCACCACAAGGCACCGACCTTAGATGCGAGCCCTCTCTGCATATCCAGGGTCACTTGCTGGCCTGCCAATCTTGCGTCAAAGAACAGCTGCAGCGCCAGGTCGCAGCGATCGGCCCTCAACCCACAAGCACCGCATCAAACAGCTCCACAAGGCACCAACCTTAGATGCGACACATATGAGCCCCCTCTGCATGTCTGGGGTGACAGGCTGGCCTGCCAGCCTGGCGTCGAAAAACAGCTGTAGCGCCAGGTCGCAGCGATCGGCCCTGACGAACGTGCTCATGAGGAGCGCGCGCGTGCCCGTGGACGGGCGGCATTCGTCGTCCTGCATGGCGGCATAGACAGAGAGCACCTCCTGCACCCGCCCGGCCCTGAACGAATCACACAGTATGTGACAGGGAGGAAAGCAAATCAGGGGAGAAAGGGGAACACGGAGAAGAGGGCGGCATTCGTCGTCCTGCATGGCGGCATAGACGGACAGCACATCCTGCACCCGCCCGGCCCTGGTGTAACTGAGAAGAGGGAAAGAAGGGGGGAGGGCACTTGATGAGGGAGGACGAGGGAAAGTAGGGGGAAGCATGGACGGACGGGTATTGAAAAAGGGAGACACTAGAGTGGCGGACAAAAAGGGCGGCGTTTGTCATCCTACATAGCGTGGTAGAGTAGACAGCGCCCCCATCCAAATCACATCTAGGTCCATCCAAATCACATCTAGGTCCATGAGCGCAGCTTTTTGGAATTCTCAGAAACCAGTTGAAACGAAACCTCCTGCCAGACCTTCCACACGCAGTAAGCTGGTTTCTAAGAACTCTCAAAAAACAACTTACCAGTAAGCACAGCGTTGTGAGCCACGGTGTCGGGCTCCAGTCCCATCCAAATCCACATAACAATTTCAGTAACTTTCAATCAATTCCTCTCGACTCGCCTCTCGCAGACTCGCATGCAGTGGGCACGGTGAGCACAGTGAGTAAGCATGCCTCTCGCATGCAGTGGGCACGGCGGTTTTTGTGACCAATACCCACACACACACCTTCCACAAGCAGTGAGCACAGCATTGTACGCCATGGTGTCGGGCTTCAGCCCCATCCCTCGCATCTCGTCCAGAAGCTGCAGCGTCCCCCGCCACCTGCCGGCGCGTGATTGGGCCTGCATGGCAGCCGCACACACACACGTGGTTAGGACAAGACATGGGCACAAGCCGCGCCACACCTGGCTCGGCTTGGCTCGGCTCGCCTTCCATATTTTTTGGCACCCGGCTCAGCTCGACTCGAGCCAGCGGCTTGGCTCAGCTCGACTCGAGCCAGCGGCTTGGCTCAGCTCGACTCGAGCCAGCGGCTTGGCTCAGCTCGACTCGAGCCAGCGGCTTGGCTCAGCTCGACTCGAGCCAGCGGCTTGGCTCAGCTCGACTCGAGCCAGCGGCTTGGCTCAGCTCGACTCGAGCCAGCGGCTTGGCTCAGCTCGACTCGAGCCAGCGGCTTGGCTCAGCTCGACTCGAGCCAGCGGCTTGGCTCAGCTCGACTCGAGCCAGCGGCTTGGCTCAGCTCGACTCGAGCCAGCGGCTTGGCTCAGCTCGACTCGAGCCAGCGGCTTGGCTCAGCTCGACTCGAGCCAGCGGCTTGGCTCAGCTCGACTCGAGCCAGCGGCTTGGCTCAGCTCGACTCGAGCCAGCGGCTTGGCTCAGCTCGACTCGAGCTAGCGGCTTGGCTCAGCTCGACTCGAGCCAGCGGCTTGGCTCAGCTCGACTCGAGCCAGCGGCTTGGCTCAGCTCGACTCGAGCCAGCGGCTTGGCTCAGCTCGACTCGAGCCAGCGGCTTGGCTCAGCTCGACTCGAGCCAGCGGCTTGGCTCAGCTCGACTCGAGCCAGCGGCTTGGCTCAGCTCGACTCGAGCCAGCGGCTTGGCTCAGCTCGACTCGAGCCAGCGGCTTGGCTCAGCTCGACTCGAGCCAGCGGCTTGGCTCAGCTCGACTCGAGCCAGCGGCTTGGCTCAGCTCGACTCGAGCCAGCGGCTTGGCTCAGCTCGACTCGAGCCAGCGGCTTGGCTCAGCTCGACTCGAGCCAGCGGCTTGGCTCAGCTCGACTCGAGCCAGCGGCTTGGCTCAGCTCGACTCGAGCCAGCGGCTTGGCTCAGCTCGACTCGAGCCAGCGGCTTGGCTCAGCTCGACTCGAGCCAGCGGCTTGGCTCAGCTCGACTCGAGCCAGCGGCTTGGCTCAGCTCGACTCGAGCCAGCGGCTTGGCTCAGCTCGACTCGAGCCAGCGGCTTGGCTCAGCTCAAGCACGCGAAATCAGGCGAACCGGAGTCGAGCCGGCCCGAGCTGGCTCGATTTCCAGCCAGCCGGCTCGCGGCTCAGGAAAGGGGGGGGTTCGCGACTGTCAAATTTCAGATTGACAACCCCCCCCCCACTCATTTCGTCAGAGTGCATGTCCTAGAGACCCTGAACCCCGTGGCCCCACTAGAGAGCCCACACAAGCCTCCCCGGAAGAGCCGAGCCGGGGATCCTGAGGACCCGGCTCGGCTCGACCCCAAACGAGCCGAGCCGAGCCAGGCTCGGCTCATGCCCATGTCTAGTTAGGACTGAGCGCTGAGTTCATTTTAAGTTCTACAATCGCGTGCAAATACTGTGCGCTTGTACCTGAATGGCGGCGGTGCATGCGTGGTTAGGACTGAGTTCCACTTTTCACTTGAGTTTGCACTGAGTCCTGATTTTCACTTGAGTAACAACTGTGCGTTTGTACCTGCATGGCAGCAGTGCACGCGTGGACGGTGGGGGCGAGGCCGGCCGCGCGCATGGCTGCCAGCACACGTGCCGCGTCAGCATAGGGCCCACTGCGCGCCAATGCGGCGATCAGGGAGGTGTGTGCTGACGTGGACAGGAGGAACGCGCGGGCCTGAATGAGGGGAGGATGCGGGGAAGAGGATAGGGGGGAAGAGGATGGGGGGAAGAGGATGGGGGGAAGACGATGGGGGGAAGAGGATGGGGAGAAGAGGATGGGGGGAAGAGGATGGGGGGAAGAGGATGGGGAGAAGAGGATGGGGAGAAGAGGATGGGGGGAAGAGGATGGGGGGAAGAGGATCGGGGGAAGAGGATGGGGAGAAGAGGATGGGGAGAAGAGGATGGGGAGAAGAGGATGGGGGGAAGAGGATGGGGAGAAGAGGATGGGGAGAAGGGAAAGTGGGTGGGGGGTTAGAGGGGGTAAAGGGAGGAAGAGGAGGGAGAGAGGACTCAGCCAGCTCAAATCACTTCAACGTAGAATTCAACATAGCATCCAATCAGCTCAACCCCGAAACCTCCGCAGCCCACCTGTATGAATCCAATCCCTCCTGAACCCTGCTTCTTTCTACCCTGACAACTGCTTTCTCGAAAAACCACATGTCAACAAAAACCCTCCAGCCCGAAACCTGAAACCCAAAACCCCGTCGCACGACCTACCTTGAGCCAGTCGAACAGCTTCAGAGCATGCCGGCCCTTGCCAGCGCGGCACAGCTCCCCAAGCACAGCCGACGCCACCCCCTCCGTTAAAACCCCGTTCGGCCCGACCTCCGTTTCAAGCACACGGGACAGGTCCAGACTCTCTATACTCGTTATAGGCTCGCCCGCCACTCGAGCCGCGAGTTCTGACACCACGCTCGACGCCGCTAAGCCCGAAACGCTTCCTGATTCAACCGAATCCTCCACGTCCTCTCCTAGCGTTGTAGGAGCCTCGATATTGCCGGCAGGAGAAGGGGGGCGAGCGGAAGGTGCGTTCGCGGACGCTGGATCTCCACCGTTGGATTCCGCCGGCGGCGGACGGAGGAGGATCGACGACGCCCAGACCTCCGTGATATCCGCGAGCTCGTCCGACAGGTAGAACGTGCCGTTCGCTGTCCGTTTCCGCAGCCGGCGGAGGCGATGCGTCGCTGCGGGCCTCCGCGCGGGCGGAGGGGGAATGCGCGGAGCGAAGGGGAGCTTGCTTCCCCCGGGGGGATGCGGAAAGTCGGTTTGCTGCTCGGAGGAGCCGTCTGCTTGCCGTGAGAGGGTTCCACTAGCTGATGAGCTACTATCGAGGGTGGAGGAGGCCTGGGAGTCGCTTAAACTGGCGGGATCTGTTGGCAGCTGCGGTTTCGGACGAGGAGGGACCGGACGGGCTGGACGTTTAACTAAGTTACACTTAGGCGAGGGATTGACGCGAGGTGGTGGAAGCGATGGGAGAGGAGAATGTGGAATTAATTGAATTGGACTCGTGGCGGGACTCATGGACGGGCGAGCCGACGGCGAAGAGCGTGCGAGAGTAAACAGGCGAACGTCGCCGAGGAAAGGCGTCGCTAAGTCCATCTCACAAAGCGCAGTTGTGTAAAAGAGAGACGCCTCTGGGCATACGATTACTATGTGCGCACAGATAGTAAGCCGTAGGAAAACAAGCGTATAGATGAATCGGTATGAGCCTAACTCCTCTAGTCAACCTGACTCAGAACTGTAGAACTGAACTACGAAGTACTCGATAATCGAAGTTGTGTTGGGGTCTCTAGTTCACGGCTCCTAGTCCTGCAATGTACCTTGGAAATGCTGCTGTTGTTGGTGACATGGCCAAAGAAGTGGTTTTTAGGAGCTTCGCCTGTTTCTCCATACAGTAAATGTTTCTAGTTTCTCAGCTCATTACGAAACTATTATTCCTGTAAATGCGAATTCAGTATTATAAAGGTACATAGATGACAGCTTTCTCAATATAGGTTGGAATACTAAAACAGACAAGGACTTTAAATATATGTGTATTCCTTGATGATAAAATATATTACAATGCTGGCCTATGTGGCCACATGTGTTGAAAGTACATCAAAAGACTTAAGCGTTTCTGAAGTGTAACACTACACTCGAGGAAGATTGCAAGGGGTACGCGAGTCAACGGAGGTTACACGAGGGGGCGGACAAAGAACACGAAGGGTCTGGGACTCAAAGGGTCGCAACTGGAGGTTGCGACTGACCGTTACAGCATCACGGATGGTAACCGAAGCGGCAATCGAGTCGCTATGCGACTCGATAAACCGTTCCTGTAACTGTACTCTGCAACTGCTTTCTTATCTTCTATATATTGCTGTATGCTTGTTTCTTTAATCAATCACTTGTTCTCACATACTAGTACAAGGGTTCAACTGTCTCAACTTCCGCTGCACTACTCAAAGTCTCAAGTCTCTACAGCTGGGACTTAGTCTCTGCAAAAGATCCTAAGGGCTTTTCTCAGCCCAACATGGTATGAGAGCTGGTCAGAGACCAAAACTCCCAGCAACTACACTCCATCAACAACCAGCAACTCAACTTGATTCAACAACTCCATTGATTACAAGACATGGACAACAAGGGCAAGAAAGTCTCTACGGGCTCACCAAGCGCCCAAGAAACTCAACACGGCAACTCTGGTCTGCACACCTCAGGACTGCAGACAGAGACCGGGACTACTCAAGAAACAACGGGAAGAGTACCAGAGATGGTGACTCCGTCTCCCTCTTCAAGTGTGGACCCGAATCTCATGGAGAGATTCTTCAGCTTCATGTCACACTTCGACCAGCAGCAGCAGACAAGGACACCTGCGCACTCAACACAGAGCAATGGAGGGAATATGGGATTAGCGCCGATGAGCCTCGACAACTCATCCTTCGGGCGACACAACCAAGCGCCTACCTTTGCGCCTTATCATTCTTCGCCGGGGACGTTCGAATTCATGCCGCCCCGTGCCCAGCCAACAGCAGCTGCATCACAACAAACACCGAATGAAATCTTAAGTTTACAGGCGCAGTTCTCACACGTGATCAAACTTCAGACATCCTCACCGTTCAACGGACACGACTTCTTTACCTGGAGCTTCGAGTTCGAGCTGCTGATGGAGGCCGCGCATCTTCTGGGATACTTCAACGGGTCCCTGCCATTCCCAAGCAACGGCACTGGGAAGGAACAAGAGATCTTCACATATCAGTCGCTGCTGGCGTACACGGTACTCCTGAGAAACCTGTCACCACAAGAGCAGCAGAGCATCAGAACGTATCGGAGTTATGGAAACTCCGCGGAGCTCGCATGGCACCACCTCAAGTGCCTTTACCAAGCAAACGACAGCGTGACACAAAGCAGACTCATGCAACAGCTGACAACAATACAGATGAAGACCGGGGAAAAGGCGATGCAGTATATGAGTCGCTGCCAGACCCTCCGCGACCGCCTACTTCGGTGCGGAGGAACGATCACTGAAGAAAGCTTCGTGACACTTGTCCTCGCCGGGCTCGGGCCAGAATGGAGAACCACACGATCACTTCTTCGAGCCCACGGAAGAATTTCGGAGATGCACCTCTGCGCCGAGCTTCACGCTGAACAACAGGAGATGGATCTGTTCGAGGAAAGACAACCAAGGAAGCAACAGCAGTTAGTCTTCTACACTCAAAGAAGAAATGACAACAACTACAACCGACGCAGCAAGCAAGATCAACGCGACAACCGAGGACTCACCATCGTACCGCCGTTCTGCCACAACTGCCAGACTTCCGGGCACTCCAAAGTCAACTGCAATCGCCCTCGCGTTTACCGTGCAGCAGACCCACAAGTCGCTTCCACTCAAGCAAGTCCTCCAAGGCGCTCTTCAACATCTGCACAACAAACACCCAACATCATCAACTGCATGGTACACATCGACAACTGCGCACCCGGTTCACCACCCACTTACGCACCAGACGAAGAGGAATTCCCACCGCCGCGCTCGCAAGGACTTCAGGTCAACCCGACATACGCTGCAGTCGCCAACGCCGAACCCACCGGGCGAAACACCTGGTTCTTGGACAGCTGCTGCGGTCAACACATGTGCTCCTCGGGACGCTTCGTGCAACAGGAGAAACGACTCAACCGCGACGTCGTCATCACAGTCGCCAACAACGAAAACCTGAAGACAAACAGACAAGGCGTGGTTCAGTTACAATCAATGGAAACAAACGTAATACTGCAGCTCAACAAAGTGCTCATTGTCGACAACCTGGGATACAATCTACTAAGCGTAAGCCAACTAATGGCCAAAGGGATTCACCTGGAGTGCGACTCTTACTCCAACGAGTTCCGGCTTTACCACGGGAAGGGCGGCCTCTTTATCGGTCGTGCCCTCCTGAAGTCCGGTGTCTTCGTGTTGGACTTCGTCCCCGACCGCGGAACTGCCGACAGCGATGGCATCGTATCGTTCGCTGCCTGGACTCACCCGCCAGATCTTGATCCCGACTTCGACAGTGACGGCTTCTGGCACTCCAACACCATACCTGCAGCAGAGAGAACACGAGCATTAGCAGTTATCAGACAAGAAAGACAAGTACCCGCAAGTGTCCCAACAAAACCATCACCTGCAGTATCGGCAGCAGGACCCAGCCGAGTACCACCACCATCAACACGAGGACCGCCAACGGAAGCAGACCAACTTATGCCCGCCACACGAGAAGCTTGTCGAAGTCCCGCCTCGGTCGTCGCGTTCTTCTCCAACGCCGACATCTACCACCGCTCGCCCGGTCACCGTGCTCCCGACGACATCTAGCACCAACGCCTCGGACACCCTGCAAACAGCACAATACTTCAAACAATCCAAGCAGAGGTGTTAGAACGCAACGCCCTTCTGACGACGAGCGGTCAAGAACTTCGACGACCACGCGCACGGTGCTTCACATGCCCCGAAGCAGATCTTCCTCATCAACCTTTTCCATCCCATCACAACCCAAGCGCACCTACTTACGCTCCGATGGAAAAAGTCTACAGCGATATTTTAAACATGCCTCGAGACGACGCCGAAGCCGACTTTAACTACGTCATCACTTTCATCGACGCCGCAACCAGATATGTCTGGCACTTCAATCTCAAAACGCGCGACCAAGCCTTCGAAGCCTTCACAACATGGCTCCCCATCGCCGAACGAGAATCAGGACTCAAACTCAAGAGCTTCCAGTCAGACGGTGCACTGGAATACCAGTCACAACGCTTCAGGACCTATCTGGCGGAAAGGGGAATCAGACGCCTGGTGTCCCTGCCCTATGCTCACCAACAGCAGGGGGTAGCAGAACGCATGAATCGGACCTTGCAGACGACGATGCGAAAACTGCTTCAGGGGATGCGACTGCCAACCACACTGTGGCCAGACGCGATGACACATGCTGTTCACCTGCACAACCTGCTGTCCTCGTCATCACTTCCCAACAACGCATCACCGCACCTGTTGTGGACAAGAAAAAGGGGCAGCACAAAATTACTCAGAGTCTTTGGCTGCATGGTACAGTACAGACCCCACACAGCCCGAGCAGGACGCTTCACACAACGAGCTCGGTGGGGACTCCACCTCGGCATCGCGAAACATTTTCACGCGTGGAAAATTCTCGACATACAAGACAAAAACACGGTGGCATCACGAGACGTTATCTTCTACGAACGACTGACTCTGCAGCATTACCTGGACAACCTTGCCAACACACAAGACCCCACCGACGGCCTCTCGGGACTTCGTTCCTTCGCCGATCGTGCTGCCGAAGCTGACGCAGCAGAAGAAGACGTACCTGGAGCCTCGGAAGCTGCCGGGCCACTCCCATTCTGCTCCGTACCTGTTCCACTCGATGAAGATAATCCCCTCGATAGCAACAACCTCGACACCTTTTACCACTTCGCCGACCAAGGTTACGCTACACCTCACCCCGTCGACACGAATATTTCGGAACGCATCGGCCCCAATTTCTTACCTGACCCCGAAGACGGTGACGAAGCAGCTTATTCCGGGAATGACAATTCCCCTCGACACACACCCACGGGACTCCAGATTCTAGGCCTCTGGGTCTCCGTCCAGCATCCGCCGCCGCCTTCTACGCGTGAGCCTTCAACATTGTCGCAGGCTCTGGGGGGGGAACATAAGGTAAAATGGAAGGAAGCGATGGAAAAAGAGTTAAAAGCTCTGCAAGACCGAGAAACATGGAAACTGGTACCTGCAACGAGCATCAACGGGAAGAACGTTCTCTCGGGGAAATGGGTGTACCGCATCAAGACCAACTCAGACGGCTCCATCGAACGATTCAAAGCTCGATGGGTCGTACGAGGCTTTGATCAACGATACGGAACCGACTACACAGAAACCTTCGCTCCAGTCTCCCGTCACACCTCATTACGCATCCTACTCGCCGTCGCGGCCACGAAAACACTACCACTACGCCAAATCGATGTCGCGAATGCGTTCCTATACGCACCTGTGGACGCTGAGATCTTCGTCGAACAACCCCACGGATTCATCGACGACCCCACGAAAATATGCCGACTGACAAAATCCCTATACGGGATCAAGCAAGCCCCGCGGCTCTGGCAGCAGCATCTTCACAGCCGTCTCGTAAAAATCGGCTTCCTACAGCTACCACATGACCAAGGCATGTACCGACTGCAGAAGGGAAGAGATTACATTCTGCTCATCGTCTACGTCGACGACCTGCTCTACATCGGTTCTACCACCGACATCGTCACCTGGTTCGAAGGGGAGCTGAAAGGGGACCTGACGCTCACAGTGTCCGACTCAGTGACCCAGTACTTGGGACTAAATATCGTCGAAGACAACTCGGCGTTCTACCTACACGCTGGAAAGTACGCAGGCACTGTCGCTGTGAGAGTACGACCTCGTTACACCACTTGGCCTTTTCCATATTTCCTCTTCATTTCATTCCTCTTTTTATCTCATCTCATTTGGTCTCATATTCCCCATTTTCCATTATCCTTTGGTTTCTTCCCTTATTATAATTATATCACCGACCAGGCATGGAATGTTCTAGACACGCTATCTAGCGTAATCCTGCCGTAATCCCTTAAAGCCAATAGCCTCGCGTGGCTATACGCAGGGTGATTCTATTTCTAGAAGGGTCTATTTCCTTTGGATAGGATAAAACCTGGTTACCTGATGTACTCTGGAAGTATAAAAGCGCCTTGTACTGATCGATAGTGCAACCTTTCCTCGAGTCATTCGATCCTGTGACACTTGGTAATCAGAGCTTTTCTCACTCGGCCGCGCTCAACAAAGCAGCAGCAGCGGGAAAACCTGCCTCGAAAAACCGCCGGGGGCGACGAATTCGACGCCGATTCTGGTAAGCACCAGCTCCGCGATTTTCGAATTACCCCCTCCGTGCGTGTTTTGAACAGGATGGCAACCTTCGACAACGCCGAGGTTACCCAGCAGCTCTTCGCGCGCATCGCAGCCCTTCAGGAGGAAATGCGAGCGGATCGCGAAGCGTGGCGAAACGAATTCGAGCGAGTAACTCGACTCGCCGGAGCGCAGCACGAGACGACAACGGCGACGACGCAGCAGTCGCAGCAGTTTCTCGAGGCTCCGAAACCGCGCCCACCTGAGCCGTTCGATCCGAGCGATCGAAACTCCGACGCCCGCAGATGGATCGCCGGGATGGAGATCTACTTCGCAGCCGTCGGATGGAGCTCGCCAGTTTGGGACGGTCAACGCGTACGACTCGCGGCGACACTGATGCGAGGGCCGGCACTCGAGTGGATTGGCGGCAACAGCACCTTCATCCACGGTGAAGCCACGTGGCAGCAGTTC